TCTTACGGGCAATCAGCGTAGGTAACCCAAGATATTTATCCTGGAGCCCTACCGCCCCGACATCCAAAATCTGAGCCAAAAATTACTGGTTCGACAGAGCAATGTTCTTACTAAAGCAAACTGCCGATTTCGCAAAGTTAACTCGTTGGCCACTAAGCTCCTCATATTCATTCAAAACCTTGATCAAATTCTCATATTCCTGGAGAGAACCTCGAAGAAACAAATATGAGTCATCTGCAAAAAAAAAACATATGACAGATCCGAGGCGCTCGAGGAGCTACTTTAACTCCTTCAAGTTTGCGTTCCGAAATAGCTTTTTGAAGGAGCGCCGCAAACCCCTCAGTGCAGAGCACAAACAGGAGAGGGGATAGAGGATCCCCCTGCCGAAGTCCCTTGGAAGGTGTGAAGTAGCCCGAAGGGGTGCCATTCATGAGAACCGAAAACGACATTGATTTGAGGCATTCATGAATCCATCCTCGCCAGATGGAGTTAAAACCCATCTTGTCCAAAACTGCAAGAAGAAATGGCTATTCGACTCTATCATAGGCCTTTTCCATGTCAACCTTTAGAGCCATGTACCCTTTCTTGCCTCGCGTTTTGATTTTCAAGTAATGCATTAACTCATGACCAAGGAGGATGTTCTCCACTATTTGTCATTCGCGGATAAAAGCATTTTGACCAGCCAAGATGATTTGTGGTAAGAGACAAGTAAGTCGTTCAACCATGATTTTCGTAATAATTTTGCACACAAACTGGCACAAGCTGATAGGACGAAGCTGTCTCATGGTCTCCACATTATCCACTTTGGGGATCAACGTCAACCAAGTATAATTGAAGCTACGGAGCATCTTGCTCGATGCAAAGAACGCGCAGACATCTTCAATCACCGAGCTACCAACAATATCCCAGAATGCTTTGAAGAATTTGCCAGTGAACCCATCAGAACCTGGTGCCTACTTCGAACCCATGGAGAAAACCGTTTTCCTCACTTCTTGAGGAAGGACTGCAACCGTGAGGTTGACATTCATTTATGGAGTAAGACTTTGGGCAATGGGATGATCAGCCACCCGATCGACCATGTTCATCACCTGATTCTCCAAGGTGAAAAAAGTCTGATAAAAATTGCAGGCAATGTCTGCCTTCCCATTTTCCTCAGTAATCCAATCCACATTGTCGTTACGAATTAAGGTCAGAAACGAAGTTCCGTTTTCTCCTAGTCCTCATCACCATATGGAAATACAATGTATTTTTGTCTCGTTTCTTCAACCAACGGACTCTAGATTTCTACTGCCAGTAGACTTCCTCAGCCTCCCATTGGCGATTTAACTCCATCTCCAAATGCCGAACCACATCCCAATCAATAGGATGGATTAATTTTATCGTATCAATTTCAGCCTAGGGAGTTCTAATATTGCGAAGGGAATTCGTTCTACCCACCCTACTCCAGTCATAGAGCAAATGGCGAAGCTTTTTAAGACGTTCCCAAAGTTGAAACATAGAAGTCCCTGGAATCTCCTCCTGCCAAACATAAGTCATCATAGCCTTGACTTTCGGATTATCAGCCCAACGAGTATCAAATTGAAACAGGGGTCAACAATTTTGAGTATAGGGCTTGTCTGAAATGAGGACAGCCCGATGATCCAATCATTGATGCGTGAAATGCTTCACCAAGGTATCTGGGTAATGATCGAACCAGGTATGGGAGCACAGAGCTCTGTCCAGTCTCTCACGAATACAAGCCTCACCCATCTGACTGTTCGTCCAGGTGAATGGATCACCCTGGTCACCAGGGTCATGTAAAACCAGGTCCTGGACAAAATTGCGCACGCTAAGAGATTGAGCAGCATTCCATGAATTACTGCCATCTTTCTCACTCTCATGAAGAGTAGTGTTAAAATTGGCTATGACAACATAGGGGAGATGGATGATATCACAGATTTCCCGTAATTGAGCCAGCTGGGTGGCTCTTAATGCAACATTACAACTGATGTAAACAAAAATCACAACATAAGAAAATTTTACTTCATTAATTTGGGCACAACTACAGAAGTTGGAAAGAAAAAACACCGAAGCATCAACTTCGGGGGACAAGGTACCACTAAACCGCCCGTTGCATCAATCACTTCAACAAAGAAGCAATGAGAAAGATCAAAACCTAAACCCTGCATACGACGGGAGACTACTCTTCGGCTCGATCCTGTTTCAGGAAGAGAAAAAAGACGAAAGTGGTTTGGAATGTGAGGGATGGTCTAATTCCTCTTACATTCCAAGCCAGAAATCTCATTTATCCGACTGGGGACATTCGAGGCTGGCTTTCTCCACCTTATCGGCATCATCCTTCTCTTCCATAAACTGTTTTTTTGGTGTGGGACTTTCAACAATATCTCCCTCAAGCTCCTCTAGAACACTTTTTTCCTCCCAGCACCAGTAGCAAAATTGAATCCATATTCATTGAGATTATGAGGCAGCCCCTCATTACCATCATCCACCGTCTCCAGCCTCTCGTTCACTGCAGGAATTGTAGGCTGATGAAGCCCTTTCCCCATACCAGAGTCACAGTCCGGATTTGAAGGCCTCGATCACCTTGTGTACCCTCCCGGTTTGAGTGCGCCGTCCCACATTTCTATTTTTTGTGGGTATGCGCCATTTAAGTTCATAGGGTCTGTTGCCTTCCGCTGACAATATCACCTCCGAGTTTACTGGCTCCTAGTTATCAGAAAGAGCACTTTCCGTTTTAAGCCCCTTTGGAATCGACTAGGGAAGTTTGCACCAAATGAGATTCATCATCCAGTCGTCATAGACCCCTGGGTCGGAGAAGCTTTGCCTTCCTTCCACTTGTCCATCTTCCCACTCTTCCTCCCGCGAGCAACCCTTTGACGATTTCCATTGGGGTTGGTCTCCCTCGGAGTAGTATAGTACATACCCTGGGGCCAGCAGCCGGACTAACCCGCAGTTGCGGGGAATACTCCCCTTTCCTCATTCGTCGTTTAGTAGCGTCAACCACACTTGTTGGACGAGACGAGTCCGACACATTGCGCAGTGATGGACGTTGGCTTGCAGGGCGCTAAACAACAACATCTTTACGTGTCTGCATGGGAGGATCCTGCACAAGGAATTCATCCTTGGATTCAGCCTAAAAAATGAGTCGTCGCCGGTGAGCCTGTTCTTTCTCCTAGAGTAGTGGGCTGGCTCAAGCTTAGAGGAAGGAGCCTCATATCGTTGGTCTCTTTTCTGTACTCGAGCTGCCCGAGGGCTTGGCGGGACTTCATGGTTGACGCTCTTCGACGTTCATCGGTCCTTGATTGTCTTCATAGGCCTACCGCTATCAGTCCATCAGGTTGACCCCATCTCCTTTCGATGTTCGTCCTTCTCCCTTCGCCCTAAAACTATATTTGAAATAGGATAAATACAATACAGGAAAAAATCCAAAAGTACCACTGTTTAAAAAAAAAATTCCAAAAATACCACCCAACCCCAAAAAATTCCAAAAATACCACCCTTTTTCAAAAACCGCCACCCCACCCAGCGGTTTGGTCGAAAACCGCTTGTCGGGGGCGCGGTTTTGGACCAAACCGCGGGCCTAGGGGGCGGTTATAAAAAAAAAAAATTGGACCAAAACCGCTGGGTGGGGTGGGACCTACCTAAAACAATGCATGCATTGTTTTACACTTTGGCACTTCCAAACATTGCATTGTGCACAATCAAGGTTCTAAAAGGCGCTAGGCGTAAGGCAGGCGCTCGGCTCCTGACTTGCGCCTTGCCTGATTAGGCGTAGCCTAGGCGCGCCTAGGCGTTCAGAGCATAAATAGAAAAAGTTCTCAAATATTTCTTGTTTTCTGGAATAATTCATATAATCCAAATTAGCAATGCCTAGTTCTTAACAGTAAACACTTAAAATAACAAATAACAAGCAAATAGTGACCACTTCCTAGAATCACAAGTTTATAAAATGTCGAAATACTAAACAATAGTCAATAAGTTCATAGGAAAATGTTCATTCTTCATCATCCAAGTAGGTACGTCCAGCCACCACTTCATCTTCATCATCCTCAAAAGCAATCTCCTCACCATCCTCCTCCTCTTCCTCCTCTTCAGACTCTAATTCTTCATCATGGAGCTCTCTCACTCGTGCACTCCTGCAAAGCTCACTCTGTTCACCCGCCATTGCATCTGTAACAGTACTCGAGGGTGCACAATATGATTCCTCATCCTCATCTACGAATACATACATAGCATGGTCATCCCCTTTCCGGGTTTCTGATTTTCTAGGGCAAGAGACAATTTTCTGATTTTCTACGACAAAACGAAGAGTATTGGGTTTAACCGCCTAAGCTCGCCCAGGAACGCCCAGGCACGCCTTCTCTCCACTAGGCGCAAACTAAACGCTATTCCTACCTACTAATCGCTACGAGCGCCTTTTACAACGCCTTTGGCCAAGTCAAGGCGATCCTCCACCGCCTAGCGCCTAATTGAGCCTAGGCGTGCGCCTAGGCGCGCCTTCTTGAACCCTGTGCACAATACATGTATTCAACAAATACAATTCTAACAATCACAACTTCGAGGTAGAGTGAGTGCATCACAGGTGTGATGCATGAACGAAAGGAGCGAGAGTGGGTGCAAGAAGGATGCGGAGAGAAAAGCACAGAGGTTAGGTGCACGACGGGTAAGAACGAAAGGATATGATTTTTCTATCAATGTATTCCCGAACGCTTGCCGGCAGGAAGCTCGTCTGCTACCGAAACAACGGGTTCTTTATACCGAAACTATTGGTTCTTTATACCGAGACTACTGGTTAGGATCTCTATCCCGGGTGGGAGTATACATATATTGTCACCCTATAAGAGAAAAAAAAATTATTATCATTCATTCATGAGATCAAACGACCCTCAAATTGTTATCCATAGTCCGATTTAGACAGTGCTCACCTAGCCCAAAACGAACTAGGCCCAAAGATTCTTTATATGTCGCATATTATTTCTCCTCCGATTCCAAATTCCCACATCACCCACTCAAAGCTCGAATAGCCCCGTTTAGCTCACAGTGACGGCAGCATCGCCGGCTGCAACTCCGTCGTCAACCTCCCAACATTGTCATCGGCGACATATTCAAATTTCAAACCTACGGAGATCTCTTAACAAAGTAACCCTTCTTCAGCTCTACACTCAGAATGGATCCTCTTTCAGTTCTCCGTGAATACACCATGAAGGACGACCTGAACAAGATCGTCCGCGTTAACGGCCAGTTCCGCTTCGGCTCCGATTACTCCTTCCCTTGCTCCGCCGAAACAGCGTACCGTTCCAGAGAAGGCAACCTCTACACCCTCGAAACGCTGGTCCATTTTCTCCAGTGCGCGAATCTCAAGCACACCGACTATCTCCAGAGCTGCCGCGCCCATGGCGTTCCCTACATCAGTTTAGTCGACCGGAAGCCGCTTCTTGACTACTTGAAGGGGGTAATCGCCGATTCCGACGCCGTCGTTTTCCCTCCATCATACCTGCGGCCGCAAGAGCAAAACCCTAATTCGGCTAGAAATCTAGGTCACGATTATTATGACGCCCCCAATTTCGACCCCCTTAATGATGCCGCCGTCGAGGAGATGGATACTGATCAGAATGGTGAAGTGAAGGATATCTTGTCAGTGATCTGCTCGATGGAGAGGCCATTGAAGGATCGGGAGTCTCTGCTGCAGTGTAAGAAAAAGGATTTCTACAGCGTATTGGATTCCTCGATGAAGAGGGAAGATGAGCGGCAGAGGATTGAATCGCAGCAGAGGAAAGATGGGTTGGTGTCTAAGAGCAGCAGATTGAATGATGACAGGGGGGCTGGCTATGGCGATGATAACGATTCAGGGATGAAGCCGAAACTAAGAGGGAAAATTGGGGAAGGAGTGCCTATCATCTTGGTTCCTAGCGCGTTCCAGACTTTGATAACTATTTACAATGTTAAGGAGTTCCTGGAGGATGGGATTTACATACCTACGGATGTGAAGGTGAAGCAAATGAAAGGGGCGAAACCAGAGTGCGTGACTGTGCAAAAGAAGTTTAGCACTGATAGGAACAAGGTGATGACTGCTTATGAGGTTAGGGATAAACCTTCTTCCCTAAAGTCTGATGATTGGGACCGGGTTGTGGCGGTTTTTGTGCTGGGGAAGGAATGGCAGTTCAAGGATTGGCCTTACAAGGATCATGTGGAGATTTTTAATAACAGTAAGTACTACATATGGAGGATTCTTTGACAGTGCCATCTTTCGTTAAAAGTGAATTGGTTTACTAACTACTGACCTTGTTGTGCTTACTTTTGGTAATGCAGTTATTGGTTTCTTCATGCGATTCGAAGATGACAGCATAGAGTCTGCTAAAACTGTGAAACAGTGGAATGTGAAGATTATCTCGGTGAGCTGTCGTTTGTTCTTTGCAAGCATCTCTGTTTACTTCTAGATTGTGTCTTGACAATGGGATTTGTAAAATTATTGAACTTGCAGATTAGTAAGAACAAGAGGCATCAGGACAGGGCAGCTGCATTGGAGGTGTGGGACAGACTGGAAGAATTTGTGCGCTCACGATCACATTCTTGAAAACGTGCATCAATGTTGAAAGTTCGTATCTTTGTTCTGTAAAACATACAGTAATCAAGATCTGTGTGAGCTCTGGTGATGATTAGCTATTGTTTTTCCCATCTACGATTGATGGAATACACTTGATGTTTATTTGAGGTGTGCATGGTGGTGGTGGATCCAGGTTCCAATATTTATGGCTGAATTTCAAGTTGTATGAGAACTTGATTCACCCCACAAGGGTCGCTTCAGGAAAAGATCAGTTGAGTGAGATTGTTAGTGTTTCGCGTTTGAACACTGGAATTGGTTTGCGGTGTATACTCTATATTCAGTAGAGCTTTTTTCTCAAGTTATCCTTTGGGGCAACTCTTTTTCACATATGTTTGGATTCTGCTCTAAGAACATAATGATTCGCTTGAAATTAGGGGTCCCGAAATCTATGATTATCAGGCAGCGGCTACTTGATCCACAGAAATCCTGACTGTGGCCTTTGGTGCATAGTTGTTGAATCTAACTTAAGTTATTTATCAGTGGTTTGAGTGGTGCCCTGATCTAATTGTAGGAGGGACGCTGTTTGTTAGATACATAGCTCTACAATGGTGGATTAGAATGTTGGTTAATTTACTTGTTGAATTGGCCACCTGTATGTAGTCTACTTGCCCTTAGAGCTATGAAATCCAGGTTCATGCTATGATAAAGCAAAAATTTGAATTCTCCTGTACTTGTTTACTGGGACACAGTCCGGCCAAGACTTCTTCACTGCAGCTACAATTTCTTATTTCTACCACCTACTTGATGGACACTATTTATCAAAATTACACACTCCTGGTTTAATGTGTTTGAGCAATCTAGAACTATATGTCTCAGCTAATTGATTGAGCTTTTTGCTTTCATTTCTATTTGGAACAGAGACGATATCAGAAGCTGTATCAGGCTATCATCACAATCCACAAAGATGTGGATAATTTATTGCCTAATCATGTGAATATGTCATCAAGGACAGATGCTGTCGGGTGTTTATCAATCTCCTCCAGTGGCAATCACTTGGTTGCATTGCAGGAGGTGGGTTCTTTACTCCCTCTCCTGTTTTCCCTGTATTTGTCATTTCTCATCTTTGTCAAGGTTGCTTCGGGTGTAAGTAGGTTGATCATATTGCTAACTAACTGGTGGATTCTTTTTACCTTTCTGTAGGCTTTTACCTTCGATACAATAAGACAGTAATTCACCACTTTGCAGGTTCATTCATACTTTATCTTTTTAGTTGCTTAATTAGCAAGAAACAATGTATATCAATCAGTAGTATGTGTTAGTGGTGGCAGAGTACAAACATGCAATCATCCCTGGAATTAGCCTTCTCATGTAGATATGGAAACTTCTAATTCTTACATGATTCGCATACACAAATAACTAACACAGTCCTGGCAATAATACCTCAGTTATTCAATCTTGCGCATATGTTACATGATAATATAGTAATGGCTGAAAGCTTTCTGATCAGGGAGAGCATCAGTATCTCATGGAGGCAGAATAACAATATGAGGCTGCCGTGATGAAGAAGAAGAGCAGCAAAGACGTTGGCGCCTTGATTGAGCTCCCATCTGAGCTACTAGTTCCGGGCGCACCTCCTAATCCTTCTGCAAACAATTCCATTCCAAAGTAAGAAAGACTTGGTCGAGAGAAAAAGGGAAAAGAAATTCACTTGCGATTGGGGGGAAAAGCACCATGCCTACCTCGAGAACTCGGAGTGAGTGGTACTGGGCTTCCCCCAGGGGACGCACTTGGGGAAGCAGCTGCAGGCAGAAGTTTATTGTTCAAAGTTAGCAAACCAATCTTTCATGTGTTAAATTCTTTCAGGTAGTAAATATAATAGTAACCAAGAAGAGAGGAGAGAGCGAGCTAGCTCGGTATCTTGCCATTGCAGCTGCTCACAGGTGGAGTCTGGACATTACAAGCAGCAGGCAACTCCAGAGCCCGTGTCTGATTGAAACCAGGGATGCCAAACGAAGAGCCACCGCCACTGAGAAGCTGGCACAAGCACAGGGGCGATAAGCGAACAACTTTGTCGAGCTGGCTGCAGCAGGTCTTGTTGGGACTGGAGTCACTGCCGCTGATGTAACCGAGGCAGGGGGTCAAGCTGGCGAGCACTGTCGAGCAGTCCAACGACTGAGCACTGGATCCACCAGCCCATAGAAGCTGCACGGTAAGCAACACGATGCCCATACTCAATGCTGTGGTTCTTGTGGTAGACATTGTTTCGTGCTTGAGTGTATTCAGAGAATCTGGAAGAAGAAATGTTGTTTTATTTTCGGTGGAGTGGTGAGAAGTGGATCATAGTGAAATGTTTCTGTAGAATGGTTTATATAGGGTGGAGTTAGTGTCGGAAGAACGAGTCAGCAGCTGTAAGATGGTGGAAATTATAGGACGGAAAAGGGTTTTGTTTGGGAGTCATGTATTCTTCTTAAAGTAATCACAATGGTTTGTAGGACGTAGGGGACTCTTTGTAACGATGAGCACCACAAGGATTGCATATATTATTGAAGTTTCTGGTCAGAGTTCAGAGTTTGATATTCTCAAAATAACATGTGCCAAACAACCCTTGGGGTTTATGTGTTGGGTGACCAACTCTGTTTGTTGCTGATGAATGAAAGTTGTTAACGTCCAGGAAGGATATGATCACAGGGAACGGTCCAAAGCTCTGACTTTGGTAATTGCTACGTCGACAGCCATGTGTGGGGTGGTGTTTTATAGCAGTAGCTGAGGAAACTGCAGAAAGCGATGTTTTGAAATCTGGGAGGGTTACCGGCCCTTGTGGAATCGCGGCCTCGTCGCTTTCGTAGGTAGTATTGTGTACGTACTTAGGCAGACCAATTTCCCATTGACCTCTGTATTCTGGATTATTAAACAGCACAGATATAGTTTGGTGAAAATGTGTTAATCATATTGAAACATCCTGGGTAGGAGGAATTGGAGTCTTGGCGAATTCTGAATAGGACACTGGAATTGAAGAGAAGAGGAGAAGGGTTTGAGAAGAGAGTTAGGGATTGGAGAAGAAGATGAAGAAATGCAGAGATAGGGAAGGAGAAGAAGCAGAGAGGAAGACAGGGAAAGAACAAAGGAATTTCTGTAATTGATATTCGATACCTTTCTCCTAACAACACATCCCTATTTATATGTCACACCACACTAATTACACATTGCTCCCCAAACTAAATCGTATGACAATTACCCCCTACTCATACATTGGTTAGTTACACATGTAGTGTCAGCTTTTGACTTATGTTATCGAATACCAGATTACCAGATGGAGCTATTCTACGCCAAGAAATCCAAAATATGCTACAGCTCTTTCTTATCTCCGACATACATAAACTCACAAAGCATTTGTTGAGTAGAAACCAATGTCTGGCAGGCTTAGTTTATAAGAAGTGTTGTTGACTCTCGAGGTTTATTCCCAACAATATCCATGACACATATTGCAGAGGCCAACAGCATTTGGCTTAAACCATTTATGCAGAGGCTCATTAATCGCCCCAACTTCGAGGAGTTTTGTTTTAGAGGGCTCAAAACGCTAACAAGATTTTGATAATCTAGGAGGGAATTGTGATGAAAATTGACTAGAATTAGGTGTATAATAGATTAAGGTGAGGTGTTAGTAATACCCTCAAAGAGATGGGCCTTCCAAATCGCTATGTTGGTCGAATCATGTGTTTTGTTAAGGGTGAATTACAAACTTGGTCACCCATATTACGTATTTATAACACTTTAGCCACCCGAATCAAAAACCATTTAAGTTAGTCACCAATACTACACGTTTATGTCATGTTTGGTCACTTGCCGTCTAATTCCATTAAGTGAGTCCTACGTGGCGGTCAAAAATTATCTTTGATTGTTAAAGTGGTGACGTGACAACCACATAGGCGCCACATCATTGACACATCAGATTTTTTTTATCAAAGTACAATTAAAATTAAAATGAAAAATCTAAAAGAAATCTCCCCTTCTCAGTCCTCACTTCTCCGCAAGCTCTTCACCACTCTCCTCTTCTCCTCCCACAACCGCCGACCAGAAAATGGTGACTTCTCCTCCCACCAGCTTCGCCGCCTTTCACATCGCAAATTCGCAAGACCACCATTCATCAACCATCCGGAGTTCTAATCATTGATTCGCCCCCAGCCGACCATCTGGAAAATTAGTGACGGAATTGCAGGTGTTTGGTGACGGTTCAGTGACCGTTGCTAAAGGCCGAGCTATGAGAAATAGCCGTAGCCCTTTTTTTTCTTTGACTGAAATCTGTATGAACTTTTATTGATCAGGCACCGTGGTTACATTATCCAGCTGTAGATGATCAACTAAATAAACCGGAGGTCTCTCCACCCAAATAATCAGCTCATTCCACCTAGTCTCTGCATGCGCCATTAGATGTGCTGCTTTGTTAGCATCTCTGCTTATGTGCCTAATGGCTTTCAGCCCCATCATCTCTAGCTGTCGACAAGTATTTCTGCAAACCACCCCTACTTCATCCTTAGTCGCATTCGGGTTTTGTAGTCTGTGAACCACCATCAAGCAATCCATCTCCATCTCAATGTCCATGAAACTGAACTGATGAGCCAACTGAGCCCCCATCTCTGCCGCTAAGGCCTCCGCCATCTCCACATTCAAGGAGCCCTTAATCTTCTTAGCCGCCGCGAGCAGGAAGTTTCCACCCTCATCTCGGAACACCACTCCCAAACCAGCCCCCCCCCCCCCCCCCGCCAGGTAGAATACCCGCATCACTACACATTGAAATTTTTCCCAACTCCGGTTGTTGCCATTGTCACCTTGAAGCCACCCTAGGGGGTTCTTCAGCCTTCTTTTGGTGTTGTTTATAGTCCGATAACAGGTACTTTGATCTCATAGGTATCTCCTCTTCGGCGATTTTTGCTCCATTGAACATGTGAGCGTTTCTTTCCTTCCAGAGAAACCATAATAGCATGCACCAATTTTCGAGACCATCCTCATCACCCAATTCAACCACCGACTTCACCCATTCGTAGCAAGAGACTCCATCACACAGCTCAAAACATCTCGCCATTTCAGCCTTTCTCCAAATTCTCGACCCCCATTCACAAGCATGAAAACGATGAACCTGGGTTTCTTGGTGATCACAGAAGGGACATCGATCTTCCCATCTTGGGTTTCGATGGTTGACAAGAAATCCAACAGGTAAGATCTCCCTCATGAACTTCCACATGATATGCTTAACTTTTGGCGGGACTTGCATTCCCCATACTTCCTTCCAAATCCGAGCTTCGCCAACTTCATGCACCCCATGCTAGAGTTTGTACCCTTTTAACCATTCACGATAACCTTCCTTTACCGAGTAGCTCCCATCCCGACTGCTATGCCAGATTAAAGTGTCAATTTCGCCATTACCCCGCAATGGGATCTGCAAAATAGCCTCAACGACATCCTTAGTAAAACAGCTCTCCAAAACCGTTAAGTCCCAAGCTTCCTCTTCTAAACTCACCAACTCGCGTACCCGGACATCTACTGCCAACCCAACTGGCGTTGAAGGGATGAACTGTCCAGGCAGGGTAGGGATCCACCGATCCCCCCACACTCTCACTTCAGTGCCGTGCCGATGCGCCAACGGAGACCTTGGTTAAGGAGTTCCTGAGCACTCATTTGGCTGCGCCAAACAAAGCTCGACCTATATCCCACATGAGCATTAAGAATCGATGACTTCTTATGATACTTAGCTTTGAAAATGAGAGCAATGAGCGACTCCGGACGTTGAACTAGGTTTCATAACTGCTTAGCTAATAGGGCAGCATTGAAACCCCTCAAATCCCTGTACCCCAAGCCTCCTTCCTCCTTCGGACTTATGAGTTCCTCCCGTCTTAAAACATGTGATCGCCTCTCTTCGCCACGTTGACCCCACCAAAAGTTCATGATCAAGCTATGGGCTTCATCTATAATCCCATCCGGGATCTTGAACACTGACATCACATAAATGAACTGTGATTGAGCCACGGACTTAATCAGTACCTCACGAGCTGTCGCATATAGTGTCTTCTCTTTCCACCCCTTCAGTTTCTGCCTGAGTCGATCTTTTAAATCCTGGAACAAAAGCTTCTTCGACCTCCCTGCTTCCCTTGCCAGTCCTAGGTACTTGTTATGTTGATCTACTCTCTTCATCCGTAAAATACCACCAACCTCCAAACTCTGGTGGGTTGTAACATTTGGGCTGAACGAAACCTCTGACTTGTCAAATTTCACCATCTGGCCAGACCCCTTTTCGTAATCTCGAAGTATCTTCTTTAATTCCATATTTCCTGAGTTGTAGCTCTGAACACCTTAGGGCTCACCGGCTTCTTAGTTTTAGGAATCAGAGCAATCAGAGTATGGTCCAGCTGATCCGGCATCTCCCCACGTTCAATCACCCCTGGCACAGTCTGAACCACTTCATCGCCCACTATTCCCCAGTATTTATGGAAGAACATTACCGGCATACCATCAGCTCCCGGTGCCTTTCTTGGACCCATATGTTTCAGAGTAGTAACCACTTCCTCCCTTTCCAACGGTTGCATCAATCTAGCATTGTCGTCATCGGTGATCGACCTATGCATGGAATCAATGACTGGGGTCGCATCGGGGAAAGCACTTGCAGTGAAAAATTTCACAAAATAGTTAAATAGACACTCCGAGGTTCCTTCCTACCCCACGAACCATCGACCATCATCCTCCTTCAGTTTCCGAATCGTGTTCCTCCTCCGTCTTGCAGAAGCTTTTCGGTGGAAAAAATTAGTGTTTTTATCCCCGCCATCAAGCCAATCCACTCTGGACCTTTGCTTCCAGTAGTTTTCCTCGTTATCTTATAGCTCTTCTAACTCTGCCTCCAACTGCCTTCTTTGTGCGAGAACTATTCCGGATACAAGGATCCGCTCTAGAGCTTTCATGGTTCGTTGAATTTTTTATCTATGTCAGCCGAACCTTGGGAAGGTAACTTTGCTCCACTGCTCCAGCGAGTCCCTGCAGGCTTCGATCTTTCCCAAAGTGCTCCTCGATCCCTGTGTCTCCCAAGTTTCCGCCACCACTCTCTGACAGTCCTCATGCTTTGCCCAAAATGGCTCAAATTGAAAACTCCATCCCCACTGGGGTTCTACATCCTCATCCCCACAAGTGTCACAAACAATTGGTCTGTAGTCCGATCTAGATCTATCCAAATGTCTTACACAAACATTAGGGTGTTGATCAAGCCAGGAATCAGACCCCATAAACCTATCCAGTCTTTCCTCAATATAATCACCCGCTCTACTTCTATTTTCCCATGTGAATTCATAGCCCTCAAAGCCCAAGTCCCTCAAGCCCGAGTCAATAAGGCATTCATGAAAGTCCAGCATAGCCGCATCCGCAGACGATCTCCCACCTCGCTTTTCTACACTCGATAAGATCTGGTTGAAGTCGCCCCCATAAAGCCAGGGTCTAGACCACTAAGCCGCTAGGTGCCGATGCATCTCCCAGATTCTGTGTTTATCCTCTCCTTCCGACCAACCATAAATGCCAGTAAACCTCCATATACCTCCCTCATCCTCTATCATTGTGTCAATATGATTCAAAGATTTTGTCATAACAGTCAAATTAACTTCCTCGGCCCACCAAATGCTTAGGCCTCCAGCACGACCCCCACCAGAAATGTCTGTCGACCAACTCGTCCCATCCTTAAACCCCAGCGCCTTGCGAGTCTCTTCGTTCTCATCCTCGGTTTGCTTAGTTTCCATTAAAAAAACTACCGACGGGGAGGTTTGTCGCAATAACGACTTCAACCCTCTAACTGCTCGCTTACTCCCCAATCCGTGGCAGTTATAACTCAGAATTCTCATTTATGACCCGAAGGGGATAGGTTCCCCGCACCTTTTCCATTTTTATTATTTGAGGACGTATGAGTATTTCCTCCGTGCACTCCTGATTGTTTACTTGGTTCAGATTGGACACTTTTAGTCCTCCGCCACCCTCCTTGTGCTTTGCTATTTGATCCTTCTCTCCCAGCATCCGCCCTCCCCACCCGGACTCACTCCTGTCACCACTTCAACCGGCTGTTTCCCCCCCTTTCTTCCCCTCAGACCTACCATTCTTTAGACCAACGTCGACCTTCTGCCCTTCTCCTCCCTTCTGTTTTAGCATCTCCTTATTCTTCGTGGCATGTAACTTCCCCAATTGACCTACTTTGTCCCCATCCCTCTCATTCACCATCCCATTACCTTTACCAGCCTCTTTCTCCCCTACCTCTTCTGACGTTGCATGCATGGCTATCACCTCCTCCT